TTTCATGCAGGCCCCTACATTTGTACCCTAAAGTTCAAAGTGGGGATACAGCCTTGACATATGCATGCATGATTTTTGTATCTGAAGTTATGAATATTGACTTACGTATCTATATTTCAAATGTAGTTACACCTGGGTAACGTCCACTAGACAAGATGTTTTTAGTCTAGATAGCTGGTTGTGAAGGGTCTATTCAGGGCAATGAGCCATTAGGGACAACAATAGGCCTTAGAACAAAGGTGGGCAAACTACGACCTGCAGGCCACATCTGGCCCACGGGACTCTCCTGTCCAGTCCCTGAACTCCTGGCCCATGAGGCTAGCCCCCCACGCCTCCCCTGCTGTTCCCCCGCCCCTGCAGCCTCAGCTCACTGCACCGCCAGCGCAATGCTCTGAGTGGTGCAGCTGCAGAGCCCAGCCTGACCCGGTGGTCAGTGCTGCGCCGTGGCGTGGCTGGCTCCCGCTGGGCGGTGCGGCTGCCTATCCTGCTGCTCTGGGCGGCATGGCTGTAGCGCTGCCAGCCACCAGTGCTCCAGGCAGCGTGGTAAGGGGGCATGGGACTTCGGGGTGGGGGGAGAGAGTCAGTGAACCCAGGGGACTGGCTTCAATGTGCACGTGTGCGTGAATGCATGTGCATGGGCATACTTTGTCCCCACAAATATAGCAGTCAAATTACACCTATGGCCCTGGGACTGGAGGAGTTCTAGCTCCTACTGAGGCTTCAGGGTTATGGCAGGGGAGGGAGGCAGAGCTTCTCTGGTCATGGGGCCATAGTGGGAGGGGGGGGAGGTCAGAAAGGAGCAACATTGCAGGGTCGCAGTGGGGTGGCAAAATGGGGCTGACTGTGTTGAACAGTGCCACAGGTGGAAGAGGCAGAACAAGGGCAGGACTGCAGACAGAAGGGGTAGGGGGGCCCTCACTTGCTCTGGCTCAGGGCCCCACAAAACCTTAATTTGCCTCTGCTGCTGGCAGTGACACTGCCTTCAGAGCTGGGCAGCTGGAGAGTGGCAGCTGCTGGCCAGGAGCCCAGCTCCAAAGGCAGAGCTGTTGCCAGCAGCAGTGCAGAAGTAAGGGTAGCATGGTATGGTATTGCCACCCTTACTTCTGCACTGCTGCTTGTGGGGCGCTGCCTTCCAAAGTGGTCGCCCGGCCAACAGCCACCGCTCTCCAGCCGCCCGGCTCTGAAGGCAGTGCAGAAGTAAGGATGGTAATAGTGTGACCCCCCCAAAAATGTTGTGTGTGTGTGTATTTAATTTTATTTAAAAATAACCAAAGGAAAATAATATCATCATCATCATGATGTTCCTATTATGCCTCTGCCATTTAGGGCTGTGACAAAGCTCCTCCACTCCTGTCTGTTTCTGGCAAATCTTTCAATGGTTCCCCAGCTGTGCCCCAGGTTTTTCAGCTCGTCTTCCACAGCTCTTCGCCATGTTGTTTGTGGGCAGCCTCATTTTGCTTGCCTTCAGGTGTCCATCTTATTGCTATTCCAGTGATGGAATCAGTTTCCATCCGAAGCACGTAACCAATCCATCTCCAACGCCTCCTAGCAATGATGGTGGTCAGATCCTCTTGGCTGCACTGTGTCCATAGATCTTGGTTTGAGATTGTTCTGGGCCAAAAGATATGGAGGATTACCCATCGACTGGGTAATGCAGCATACAACAGAAGACATGCCAAGAGGCATTAAATGCACACTTTTCTCATCCCTTGAAGATCTGCACTTCACTGATGATGTCGCTCTATCACATACCCAACACCATATACAAGAAAAAACAACTCGACTCAACACATTCAGCCAGAAAATTGGTAGTTGGTTGAAAATCAACCGCAATAAGACAGATATCATGACCTTTAATATTGCAACACTATCACCACTACGGATAGAGGATTATGTTCTCACCAGTGTAGAAACATTCACATACTTGGGCAGCACCATCAGCCAGGATGGTGGAACAAGCCAGGACATCTGGAAAAAAAGATCAATAAAGCCAGGAACACCTTCAGGAGCTTAAATACAGTCTGGAAATCATCAAAATACAACACCAAAACAAAACTCAAGATTTATCAGAGCTGCGAAAATAGTATACCATCACCAAATGACTGATACAGCCAAAAGGCATTCATTAGACTTAATAAATAAACACATTTTATTTCATTTACCTTATAAAAGTTGGTTCTCCTGTAGTTGAATGTCTTTGCTCATGGTTTCTTTCTTCTTAAACCTATAATTTCTTGCTGCTTTCAGCAACTCTGGAGACTTTCTGACATTCATAAATGTCATCACAAGACATACTTTAGTGCACCTATACTTAGCTTTGCTTCACTTAATCAGTTCCTTTCTTTCCTCCCAAGTTGAGTCAGAAACCTGCATACTGCAAAAAGATTTTCATTTGAGACTGGAATTGAAAGCATGCAAAGATACAAGTTTAAAAATGTGTGGTATTTATTTGAAAACTTCCAGCATCTTTGATCAGCTTTTTGCTCCTTTGAAATTACTTCCCTAATTTTCTGTAAAATGCTGTAATCATCATATAGCTTATCAAAATCAATCTCAAGGTTAAGAACTTCAGTCCGCTTCTGTCATGGACTGTGGGTGAGTCAGGACCCTGCACCCCTCTTCCTGGGATTCACCGTGACTCTCAGCCAGCCAATAAAACAGAAGGTTTATTAGATGACAGGAACAGTCCCAAGCAGAGCGTGTAGCTACAACCAGAACCCCTCAATCAAGTCCTTCTGGGGGGTTTAGGGAGCTTAGACCCCAGCTTGGGGTTCCCTGCATTGCACTACCCAGCCCAAACTGAAAACAAACCAAAACTCCTCCAGCAGCTTTCTCCCCCCTCTCCTCTGCTCCTCCTCTCCTTTGTTCAGTCTCCCGGGCAGAAGGTGTTATTTCTCCCAACCCCCCTCCTGGCTCAAGTTACAGCTCAGGTAGCTTCCTTCAAGGGAAGTCCCCCATTCCCAATGCAACCCCCCTGCAACATTCCCAGATCAAATCTGCCCCGCTCCGTCACAGCTTCTCAGTATCAAACCATTCCACTTCATTGTCCAGTAAGAGGACTGACACATGTTTGGAAACAAAGGTCTTGAAATCATACCATTTCTAAACAAATGCACTGCATCTTGACAATCCCTTATCTGCTTCCTCCTCAGATTTTCTACTGTTCTACAGAGAGAGATTGCACAAAATAGCCTGCACTGATGGTCCACAGAAGTTGTCCTCTTTCCTTTTCTTTAGTTTAGAATGAAAACCTTCCATGACAGTCTAATTCTATACAGTTGGTATTGTTGCATTCTAGCTTTTTGAGTGCTTCAAAAATATTCCCATCAAGTTATGTAGGAAGTAAATTTAACAAAGAGATTCCTGATCATCCTCACTAAATGCTTCCCAAATAATCTTGGCACAATTTTCTCCCCTCTGAAATAAATATGCTTTTAATACAGGGTGGATTGATTTGAAATAAAGGCAATTTAAATCAGCTATTTAAATCACCACATGCATTTAAAAGCATTGATTTAAATAAATTGATTTTAATAAATATTTCCATTTGTATTTCAGTTATTTTATAAAGAAAGGTGCATTCTCATTGGCTGATATAACCATTACAACTGTAACCCTTCTGCCAGGCCGAGTTGATAGCAGCAAGGACTGGGTTCAGTACATAGGGGTCCCCTCCCAACAGCGTAACACAAAACCAGCTCAAGCCCCCACCCAGTGACCTGGGAAAATCTTACACACACCCCTGGGCACCTCGAAGAGGCAATACTTCCCCTCTCGCAAGCACAGAGTCTCGGTGTAGCAGAAAATGTTTAATAACATGAGGTAAATGACATAGCATTAAATTGGGAAAACACCACAACTAGAGTTCATAGACCAAACCATGAGCGAAGACCCACCCCAGCAAATTGGGCCGTGTCCTCTCCCGTTGGTTCTTGAAACCCAAAAATCACCCAAGTCCCAAAAGTCCAACACCCCCTAAAGTCTCTGCCCTCGGTCAGTGCAGCCCCAGAGTTCAAAGGGGTGGGGGGGCACGCAAGGTATTAAGGGGCACTTTACGTGCTCAGAGGCCGACCGGCCGCCTCTCCGTGGGGTTCCGCCGCAGCCTTCACCACGAGCCACTCCTGCCATCCCACGAACTGCTCTGCTGTACCAGCTGCTCCACTCACCGACCTGTGAGCCGCTCGCTGTTCCTTAGGCCACTCCAACCGTCCCAGCAAGGCTCCGCTCTGCTAGCTGCTCCGCCAGCCGCTTAGCAATATAGCTTCAGGCTCCCCCACTAGTTAACACAGCACTCAGTGATCTCAGCTCTTAGTAACTTTAGCTCTTTTGTGATTTCAGCTCGTAGTAGGGGAGCCCCAGTACTGGTGCACTATTGGCCCAAAGTGAATTTACCTCCGTAGCCTGTAACTAGACTCCTAATGGAATCAAAGTTAGCTCTGACATTCGACAGTGGAAAGAGGAGGAGGTGCAATTGGTGTTTCAGGCTCACAAAAAGGGGCCCCACACCACCAGGTACAAATACCTGCCCCCAACCTCTCTCAATTCACTAGGTTTTGTAACGCATGCCCCTTGTCAAGTGAATGCTTCTTAGTTAATGGTGAGTCTTTCTGTCATACAACAGTTCCACTGGCCTTGATTCACAGAATCAGGGTAACAAAACTTTATTCTTCCTGCCCCAATAACAGAGAAACTGGGGATCCCACACCAGCCAAAGTAACCTCTTTCAGTTGCTGTTGTCTCATGCCAGGCGGGTGGGTGTGCCTATGCAAACAAGATCAGCCCCTGGAGTTCTTTTCCACACTCACCATAATTCACCACCAGATGTCAGGGTAGAGCTCATCCTGACCCTGCTTACACAACATATTGATTTACAACTAAAAAGAGCCTTTACACTAGATTTGGTGCATTTTTTTGCTACTGTGACATTACCTAGGGTACAACCTGGACTGTTGAACAGCTGTGTCCTCTCAGTACTCCAACCTGGGGTGCCTTTTACAGTGCTTTAGTGCAAGAGCAGCCACTCCTGACCTGTTCACTTATACCCTCCAGCATGTAAATTACTCCCAGCTATATCATAAGAGTGATACAGTTAGCCACGCCTGAATTATATTACAGAGCAACATTAGCAAATTCCAAGTCCCAGACTTGTCCCCAGAAATGTGTCTTGTACTGCCCAGTACCCTCATGGATAATACAAGCTCATAGAAAGTCCGTCATTTCATTAACAGAAAATGATATGCACAGATCTTGTTATCCCAAATGAAGTTTCCCAAACACTTCAATCCAAACACACACTGGTGTAGATAAAACAAGTTTATTAACTACAGAAAGCTAGATTTTAAGTGATTATAAGTAATGAGGCATAAAAGTCAGAATTGGTTACAAAGAAATAAAAGGGAAAACACAAACTAAAGCCTAATTTAACAAACTAAGTGAATTTAAAGCAAAAGGATTTATCTCACAACATGTTTACAGCAGTGTAGTTGGATTCCTTTCAGCCAGGACCCCACCCCAATTCAATGATGCTTCCTTTTCTTTCAGATGGTGTTGATGCTGTGAGTAGAGATGAGGCGATTTGGAGCCTCTGTTACTCATTTTTATCCTTTTCCTCTTCTTTAAGAATCATCTCCAGCTGGGGTTCAGGAGACAAAGTCTGGGGACAAGAATTTCCATGGATTCAGCATATTTATTTTTGATTTAAATATTTTAAGAAGCTATAATAAATTTAGGCCTTAACAGATTTTGTATTAAATTAAGATTTCATTATAAACAGACTTATTTTTAAAAAGAAAAATATAATTTAAAGAACAATTAAATCCTATTTAAATAAAAAACCTGATTTAAAAAAAATATTTTTTAAAAAATCCAGTATTTTTATCCACACTGCTTTAATGCAGGCCACTGTGGTAGGGCTCATTCCGTTGGAGGCAGAAGGACAGTTACCTCATTGGCACATTATGAAGAAGTTTCTTATATGCATAAAAACTACCATATTGGGTCAGGTCAATAGTTCATCTAGCCTAATATCCTATCCCCCAGAGTGGCCAATACCAGAGATCCAGGGGAGGGCAGTTTTGTAGAGATCCACCCCGTCTTCCCCTCCTGGTGTCTGGGGTTGCCCAGAGCATGGGGTTGATCCCTAATCAGCTTGACTAATAGGCATTGATGGACCTATCCTCCATGAAGTTTTCTAGTTCTTTTTTGAACCCAGTTATGCTTTTGACCTTCACAACATCCCATGGCAATGAGTTCCACAGGTTAATTGTGCATTGTGTGAAAAAGTAGTTCCTCTTGTTTATATTAAACCTGCTGCCTATTCATTTCTTTGGGTGACCCCTGGTTTTTGTATTGTGGGAAAGGGTAAATAACACTTTTCCCCCCCACACCAGTCAAGGTTTTATAGACCTCTATCATATACCGCCAATCATCTCCTTTCTAAGAACAGCCCTAATCTTTTTAGTCTATCCTCTTATGGATGCCATTCCATAGCCTTGATCATCTTTGTTGCCCTTTTCTGAACCTTTTCCAGTTCCACTATATCCTTTTTGAGATAAGGCAGCCAGAATTGGACACAGTATTCAAGGTGTGGGTACACCATGAACTTATATAGTTGGCATTATGACATTTTCTATCCCTTTCATAATCGTTCCTAACATTGTTAGCCTTTTGGACCATTGATGTATATTGAGCTGAATTTTTCAGAAAACAATCCATAATCACTCCAAGATCTCTTTCTTGAGTGGTAATTTAGAACCCATCATTATATATGTATAGCTGGGATTATTTTTTCCCCAATGTGCATTACTTGGAATTTATCAATGTTGAATTTCATCTGCCATTTTGTTGTCCAGTCACTCAGTTTTTGTGAGATTCCTTTGTAACTCTTCAGAGTGTGCTTTATACTTAACTATCTTGAATAATTTTGTACCATCTGCAAACTTTGCCACTTCACATTAACTCCCTTTTCCAGATCACAAATGAATATGTTGAACTGCACATGTCCCAGGACAGATCCTTAGGGGACCCCACTCCACTGTGAAAACTTAATATTTATTGCTACTCTTTCTGTCCTATCTTTTAACAAGTTATTGTCCCATAAAAGGACCTTCCCTGTTGTCCCATGACTGCTTATTTAAAAGCCTGTGGTAAGGGAACCTGCCAAATGCTTTCTGGGAAAAAAAAGTACACTATATTACTCCTGGGAGAATACTGTGCATGTACATAATTAAAGAGCTGTGCATATTTTTAATTTTTTGCACAGAAAAAAAGCTTCTGACAAAATGTTGCCGCAGTTCCACCTTTTGTCCACCAGAGGGCTCTGTGGCAACAGAACAAAGCAGCAGCTCCCAGCCGGCCAGGGAAGAGAAAGAGCCTGCCTTCTTCACAGTACCTGTAAGGCCAGGTCAGGAGACAGGGACTACTGGGAGAAAGACAGCATGGGTTGCTGGGGGGGGGGGGCAGAAAGGGGAGGACAGACTGGAGCAGAAGCTGAATGGGAGTGGAGGCACAGGCCACAAGGGGGAGGGAGGTGCAGGGCCACATGGTGATGGCGAAGGGGGTGCAGAGCTACATAGGGACAGGGGAGTGGCTGGGTGGGGACACAGATACACATGGGGACCGGGGAGGAGGTACAGAGCCATATGGGGATGAGGGGAGTGGGTGTCTGAGTGGAGGTGCAGGAACACATGGGGACAGGGGCAGATGTGCCTGACTGAATGG